CCCAGATACCCCGCAACACTGGTCGGATATGTTTGAGCCATGTGACAAGCCTAAAAGATTTTTCAGCAGTGTGACATGCTTAGAACATATCCAAGCAATGTCACACTACTGAAATATTTCTAGCCACTCTGGCACACCTCAAATATTTCTGGCCAGTTTGACTTGGCTCAAACCTTTCTTACCAGTCTGATACACTTCAAATATTTCTTACCAGTCTGAAACCCTTCAAATATTTCTGACCACTTTCACTTGACTAGGATATTTTTGAACACAATTTATCTAGCCAAACATTTCTGGTCACAATATTAAAGGTCAAACATTTTCTACCCAATCCAATATTATATTTTCTCCCAAAGGCAAAAAAATAAATGGTTGCACAACCTATTAGCCTGGATACATTCTTACATTTTACAAGGCTAATAGCTTGTTCAAGGTGGGTGACTGAAGTGCTATGGATGAGTACCCCACCCAACCCCAAGTTTTAAGCTATCCACCTCTGTCACAGGAGATTGGTCCAGACACAGTGCATGGTGAGTCATTCACCAGTTCCATTAATGCAGATCACCAACATTTTGATAGGATTTTACATGTTTGAAGACAATATACCTTACCCCAGCATATAAAGCCTACCCAGGACATCCAGATCGATTTCCATGGACACTGCAACCGGTACCATCCCCCTCTCCCCCTCCCACCCCACCAGAATGCAGAGCTCAAAGATCTCCTGCTCAAATGAAATCTGAATCATGAAAACAGTAGCTTTGACAAGGGTAAGAATTGAGGGGCTTAGTAAAATGATGTATTCCATTGCTATATACTAAACGACAGCAACGACGACTCAAGTACTCAGGATTCGCAGTATTGTGAAGTGACTAAGTATGAGTTCGCCAGTTGGTTCACTGAGCTGTTCCATGAACCAGACTCCCAGTGGACAAGATGTCCTCAAGATTTCTTAGTTTGCAAAACATTTCTTGCTCCCAAATATTTATTTCCAAGAATTCTTCACAAGCTAAACATTTCCAAATACAACAAGAAATATGTCACAAAGATTTCTTGTCAGTACAAACATTTTAAAGAAGATTTCTTATCCAGTCAAAGGTCTTTGAACTTGTGAACATTTCCCAATATGATAAGAAATATTTCACAAAGATTTCTTGTCAGTACAAACATTTTGAAGAAAATTTCTTATCCAGTCAGAGATCTTTGAACTTGTAAACATTTCCAAGTACAATAAGAAATATTTCACAAAAATTTCTTGTCAGTACAAACATTTTGAAGAAGATTTCTTATCCAGTCAAAGATCTTTCAACTTGTAAACATTTCCAAATCTATATCCTGAACCAGGATATATCTTTCAACTATATCTTGAACCAAGATATATTACCAAGATATATTTTCCAACCAGATATAACTTTCAACTATATCTTGCAGAAGACAAAGGCAATTTATTGAATACAACTACATAGATAGGTTTACATACTACAATGACTATTGAATAAAGAAGAGGGAGTGAGGGAGAGGGGAGACATAAGGGAGAGGAGAAAGGGGTGGTAGGCAATGATGGAGGGGGGGAAGGAGTTATAGACAATGAGTGAGGGAGAGGGAGAGGGGGAATGGGAAGGGGAGAGAGAGAATGGGAAAGGGAGTGAGGGGATGGGGGAAGGAGGGGTGGGGAGTGATGGAGAAGGGAGGGAGTGATGGGGAGAGGGAGGGGTAAGGAGTGATGGAGAGGGGAAAGAGGGGGAGGGAGGGAGTGGGGGAGCTCCCCTGGGCTTGTCGTTGCTTGTGTCCGTTCACGTTGGCGGGCCGTTGCCTTTGTTCGTGGGCCACTAGTAGCTGCCATTTACATCATGTAAAACCTGGCATGTACCATAGAAGTTCCTGCTTAGCTACCGTGAATGAAATGAAATGAATTTTCATTCATTCATGGCAACTGTTTCATTCCAAGTCATTCTAATCTATTGCCGTGGAGAATGAAATACTTTTTGTTTCATTTCATTTCATTTCAATTTTTTCTTCATTTCTACTGACAAGAATGAAATTTATTCTGTTTCATTCATTCCTGGCGACTGTTTCATTTTTTTAATTTCATTCCACCATGGCAACTGTTTCATTTTTTGCTTTATTCTTCTGTTTCATTCATTCCTGGCGACTGTTTCATTTTTTTTTTTCATTCATTGCCATGGAATTTTCATTTCATTCTTTCCAGGCAGTTATTTCATTTTTGTTTCATTCTTTCAGGCAACAATTTCGATGTTTTAATACACATCTAAATAAGGAAATAATATACAATTATGCCTGATATGTGTTGTGCCCTACTGCAGTGGTGTGGGAGGCCATATGGGGGTATTTTTGCATTTGAGGCTCAAATACACAACAAGATAGGCATGCTGTTGCCAAATAAGGCACTTAAATATTCTGTATCAATTACATAATCATTTTCCCACCTCTAACAATGAAATAGGCACCGAGAAGAATGA